CAAGAAGAAATAGGGGAGGTTTCACTTCCCTCTTATCTTACTCTATTCAAGATAATTTTAAGCAGGCTCCTGGTTGTCTGCTATGTAACCCCCTGAAAGTCTGTCCTTGACTAATTAGTATGGTAAATATTTCTTTTCCAGTTAACTCCTGCTTAGGTGCAGGAAGAGCCATTCTCCATGTGTGATAGTTGTCTCCTCCCGATCTACTCATTTTGCTTTAGTGCTTCCTTGATCTTCCAAAGACACGCCTCAAAAAACCCTTGTGGTTTTTTCCTGGTTGTTAAATCAGCAGGGATCCGATTTAAAAAAAAAAAAAAAAAATCCCCATTTTTCAGATATAAAGATGTAACCCAAAATCCACATTTTTCTGCTATTAAAATGAAACACCACTAACAACAGATAGATATAATTGTCTATCTATCTATATCTCTAATTGTATATAATCTCTCTCTAGATACCTGTATATATTAGTAGGGTTTCATTAAAAAAATATCACAGAACAGTGTAGATTGGGGGGGCTGTATCCAAAAAGTGGCAATTCCCCCCCCCCCCCATAACAGGGTGGGGTACCTAGGGGTGGCCATGTTACCACCCCCCAGGTCCTTAACCATGCCAGTCCTTCACCCTACAAGCACCCTTGTTCTCACCTGCCATGTCTTGTTGGTATAATAAATATAGGGAGGCTGCCCTTGAGCTTTAGTTTTGGACACGGTCAGGTTAGATCCTATTAAACCTGTTGTTTCTACCCTACTTTGATCTCCCACTTCACTGTGGATGTTTCCCAAGTCTCTCAGCTTTATGGGCCATACGCATGGCTCCAGCCATCCCTTTACAATGCCCCAAGCCTTGCAGATGATACAGGCATCGTCTTGCCTAGGCTTCTTATTAATTCAGCTCCTTGTCCTCGTCGGGCTCTCCGCAGCCCTGTCTCTGGCGCTGGGCTCCCTGCGGCCTTGTCTCAAGTGCAGCGCTCTCTCTGGCGCCAGGGTCCATGCCACCCCAGATGTGGCACCTTCTCTGGTGCCAGGGTCCCCATGCTGCAGTGGGCCCCTATGAGGTCTCCTCCTTCCCCAACCAGCTTCACCCAAACCACCTGTTGTTATCAGACAGCACACACCCAACCACCATACTCTGCCCCTTTTAAAGAGTAAAACTCCCTCTCTGAGGCTGGGTGCCTAGTAGACAAGGATACGTTATGGGCTCCTGGCATCCCCTTTGTTCTAAGGGGAGCATATCTGCCAACTACCACATCTCTAGGCCCTTTCTTCTCATAGAGGCTCTTTCCCCTTTGGCTGCTAGTAAGGGACTCAGTGCCTGGTCCCCACCCTAGGGTTTATATGGGCCTAGGGCCCTGCCTCCTCCTGCAGACTGACCAGGTGCAGGTGCAACCAATTCCCTCCTTAACCGGTTGTCCTGGCAACCTGCCCCTCGGTTCTTCTTATCTCTGGTCTAAGAGGAGCAGGCAACTTAGTGCCCTGCTACATCCCCCAATCAAAGAAAGCCAGGATCCCTGTTAATCAGCTCCTTGATAGGTTCCAAACTTAGAAAGTTTCAATTTGAATGAATTAGTATTGATAACCATTAACGAGCAGTTTGATTAAGGGGGTTTTCCAGCCAGTTACTGGATGGGTCTCTCTATTTACACAGCTGCAGGAACACTTTGAAGATGCTAAAGGGTAAGAGGAAGGAAACAGCTAACAAGAGTGAGAAATCTTGGACATGAAACTGCTGCTGCACCAGCTCTTGAGAAGCTGAAAAGAATCCGATGGCCTCCGTTCGGTGAGAATTTATCACCTTGCAGATAAATACTGGACTTTACTTCCGTTTGGACTCATTTAACCTAGGATACTTGAAGTGCATAAAGCCCTTCTGTCATTTATCCAATGAGGTGTCATGTTAATTCTTTAATACTAGTCCGGGATCCCATTTTACTACCTAACAGCAGGGGAAGAACTGAGGGGTTCCCCCCTCCACAGGACACAAGTGTCCAGGGACCCTATTTGGCAGAGCCAAGGCCTCCCCAAACCCGGGCCCCAGCTTTCACCCACAGGCCCCAGTGAGGGGGTGGGGGGCACCAACCCCTGCCCTCCCACCCCATCATACCAAAGAGCTTCTCAGCCAGCATGTGCAGTTGGTTGGGGTCCAGCCCACGCCCGGCAGCAGCCATGAACTGCCAGCTCAGCGCCTCGGCCAGCACAGGCCAGGGAGCAGGGGGGGGCGTCTGGAAGAACAGCTGGTCCTGGGGAGGGAGAGGGATGGGATGAAAGCTGCAGGGGGGCAAGATCCTGGCCCCCAACCCTCCTCCGCAGTGCTCAAGTCTGAGCACCAGGGGGCACCCCCTGCCCTGTTCCCCACCAGGCTGGGGAAGGTTAATGGTGGGGGCAGAGGGGCTCTTACCTTGGGATTAAGGCTGAGTAGGTTGAACCAGAGGATGGAGGCCCAGGCAGCTGAGGCCTGGCAGACATTGGAGATGACCACCACGGGCAGAGTGGATGTCTGGGGGCAAGGGGGAGTTAGGGGGGCAGTAGGATGTCTGGGTCCCAGACACCCCCCCCCACCCCTGGGCTGCAGCTGCTGTCCCCCTTCCTACCTCCCAGACCCCATGCTAAGGAAAAAGGAAATCAGGCATCCAGGAGTCCAGTTGCACCACTCCTCCCCTTTCTCCCCCGAGACCTGTCCCGTCCCCCCCACACACATATTGAAGGGCTGAACCCATGTGTCTAGGAGTGCCCTGCCCCCTCTCACCTGCAGCTGCAGCTCCACATCCTGGTACTTGTAGTCTAACGTGAAGGTGATGAGGTGCAGCTCCTCCGTTACCGGTAGCAGGCCCTGAAGGGGGGTGGGGGGGGAGAAAGAGGTCAGGGCCCCCCCAGCAGCAGGGGCCAGACCCCACCTGGGTTGTTTCTGAGGGGAGGAGCAGGGGGGCATACCTCACTGGCACCTTTGCTGCCCTTGCCAGAGCCCACAGCCTTCTGCTCCTTCAGCGTCTGTCAGGAGAAGATCAAGGTCAAGATCAAGCCCCCCAACCCAGTGGCCCAGCAGGGCTCTGAGCCGCCCTTCAGGTCAGCAATCCTCTCATGAGGAACCCAGGTGTTTTCACCCCCCCCCACCATAACTGGGAGGGAACCCAGGTGTCCAGGCCAGGTGGTGCCGCACCACATGGCGGAAGTCGCAGACCAGCCCTTTGCGATGCCTCTCGTCCAGCATCAGCGTCTTGTTGGGCGATGTCAGGATATTGAAGCGCCGGAACCTGGGGTAGGTAATGGTTAGTGACGGGGGGGGCACGTATCCCCACCCTGGCCTGGCTCTGGGGCCCCGCAGCCTGGTCCAGGCCTGGGGAGGGTCCCTGGAGGATGCCCCCCTGCCACAGGAGATCTCTCCCCTTCCCCTGAACATACACCAGTCCCCCCACCACCTGCCATGCCCCCTGCAGCTCTTACCCCTTCACATTTGGGGGATCCCTGGAGGAAGAACAAGCAAAGGTCAGGAAGATGAAGACCCCCCACCTCCCCAGGACTCTTTCCCCCCCCACTCATATTTTGCACCTCCCTCCACCCATTCCCTACCACCCCCAACTGGTGCTGGAGGGCTATGGGAGGGGGCAATGGGACTCACTTGTCACACTCCATCTTCACCACCAACTGCTGGTTCCGGTCCTGCAGCTTCACCAGGAGCCTGGAGGGGGGCAGGGATCAGCTGGGGGGTAATGCTGGGAGCCCGGTGCCCCTGTTGGGGGGTGGAGCCTAGAAAATGGGGGCATGGCTCACCTGATGCAGGTGGAAAACTTCTGGTTGGTCCTGAGCACCAGCTGGCGCCGGCTGGGATGGGGCATGGCCGGCTGTTCCTCCACCACAAAGGCACTGGAGGATGGAAAATAGTGTGAGCCCGAGCCTTTGCCTGGCCCCCTAACCCCTCCCCACCTGGCCCCGAGACCCCTCCCCACCTGCGCAGGAGGCTGGCAAGCTGTTCACGGATGCGGCGCTCCAGCAGCCCCGGCTCCGTCTCCAGCGGGTCGTGCTGATAGCTGACCTTGG